ATCTTCAGAGTCAAAGTGAGTTGTATCACGTCAGTTGATGGTATTATACTCTGGTTATTGATCTGATTGGTCAATTATGTCGCGATGTTATTGGTCGTCTGTCAGTTAAGCCGTGATGTTATTGGCTATGAAGACTCGTAATCAGTGATTGGTGCGTTTCGATCCGTCCATTGTCACAGTTAAACAGTCGTCTATTGTTAGTCAAATTGTCAGTTCTCAGTTGTTCTCTCGTAGTTAGTTTTGCTTGATCTCGTCAATAAGTCGTTTGTACGGCGCTGGTAACTGTTGGCTACGATTCAGTGGCGTTTGTTCTAAGTTAGTAAACCAGCTTTATAAAGTAAGACGTTGATAGTAGTCTGTAGAATACGTTATACATGTCGCAGAGTCCCAGTCAATTTGATGTTTCGTCTTTAAATGGTGCTCAGCAATGTGATTGTTGACGTCACCATTCCTCGTCGCGCGTTTGTGTTCGGTCAGTCGCGTGCTTAGTTTTCTGCCGGTTTCACCAATGTAAGAAGCCTGGCAGTCGCAGCATTTGATCTTGTATACTGCTCCCTGTCTGTCCTTCGGTTTGTCTTTGTCCTTGACATTAGTAAGCAGTCGCCGTAAAGTGGTTATCGGTTTGTGCGCAACACGTATATTGTAAGGTTGTAATATACGTGCAATAGTTTCAGAGGTGCCTCTGATGTACGGTATAGTCGCTGTCGTAACAGAGCCAGAGTTGGTCTGAGAGTTGGAATCAGTGTTACTGTGAGTGTTCCGTCTAACAAAGTCTGTGTTGTAATTTTTCTTAGTAAAAACGTTGTTAAGATAATCAGTCTCGTTTTGTAGGCTGTCAGGTGAGTCGCAAACTATCCTTACTCTGACGAGACGAGCGCAACTAGTTTGCGACTCACCTGACAGCCTACAAGACGAGACTGTTTATCTTAACAACGTTTTTAGTAAGAACAATTACAACACGGACTTTGTTAGATCAAGCAAAACTAACTACGAGAGAACAACTAAGAACTGACAATTTGACTAACAATAGACGACTGTTTAACTGTGACCATAGACGGATCGAAACGCACCAATCACTGATTACGAGTCTTCATAGCCAATAACATCACGGCTTAACTGACAGACGACCAATAACATCGCGACATAATTGACCAATCAGATCAATAACCAGAGTATAATACCATCAACTGACGTGATACAACTCACTTTGACTCTGAAGATGACTACCGCACAGGTTGTCGAAACGTCAGTCACTGTCAACAACAACAGTCCTATTCAGGACTACGTTCACCCGGACGATCAAACTCAACCTTTTTATCATTATTATTATTACAGACTTTAAGCTTCACGTATACGGCAAACGGAAACCAGCAAACGTCATATTCAAGTTGAGATTTTCTCAAAATAGAGAGTTAGCAGCTAAAAACAGCTCAAAACAATTCTTTTGGATAAAAACTTGCGTGAAACTACTAATTTATGAGTGGAGTTAATGAACAGTAAACGACTAGTAATTGGGAAACTTGGTCACGTGGTACACATTCGCCTTTTCCGTTTGACGTAAACGTGACGCTAAACCTCTCTTTTATTATTATTATTGTTATTATTATTATTATTATTATCATTATTATTTATTAATTTATTGATTTTTAAAGTTTTTAACGAATAGTTCACAAAACGCCTCATCTTTCTTCATTGCCTACACCTAGTTGCTCCGAAGATCAGGAGTCTATTATGGGCTCCTTGTAATCTAGCTATTTATAATGCATAGAGATAAAGTCAAGCTTCAAACTATTCGAGTTCTTGAAAAATAACTCCATAACAACAACTTACAGTTAAAAATGATTAACAAATGTAATTCAAAAAAGTGAGATATGTTAATTATACTTAATTCTATTCTTGGAATTGAATACCGATAAATGCTTCTCTGGTAATGAATCTATTAATGTGACGTTGCAGATGTGCTAAATTGTGATGAATTCAAAAGCCAGATAATAGATGTTTCTTTTTCATGAAATGAACAGCAACCTCACATAGTAATCTTCTTTGCAGTCATAGCCGACTTTCTGGTTGTGGAATCTGATCTTGTTGAAAAACGCTTTTATAGGTCCAGGTCGAATATTTCATGAAACGAATCAAACTCTAATTTGGGTCGACCTAAATTAAGTTAAGATCGTCTTGGGTCAGACGTCGAACTAAGGACGCGTCGAAGCAATCAACTGAATCAGACCCTGAGGCAATTTTCACGGTTTTCTCCAGAACTAAGCTAAATATATATTATCATACGATTTTTTAATTTTTCAGTTTATTCCTTCGCATGTGAAGATCGACGTTTGCCTCGGAGACGATCTCCAGACGTTCCAATATCTGTCTGAGAACGTATCAGGGGAGCATCCAAACTCATTCAGATAAACTTTGAATTACTAAGCCGGCAGACGTCGAACTTTTAAGGAACCCAACTCACCAAGTTTGATTCGTCTCATGAGAAAGGTCCACGTTCTGCTTCGGCCTTGGTCAGGTTATAAGCCCTCCAAAAACCACTTTCTAATAAGTTGTATAAGCTCAGAGCTTCCTTATAAGCAGAAATTTACGGTATATCAAATGTTAATTTACTCTGGAAGAAAATGTTGGTTTTGGGGACGTTATCCTTTATCCCTTTTAGATTGCTTCCTTTTTAGTGATACCGGCAAAGATTTTGGGAACGAGTTTGTAATTCTCCTCTTTCTACTTAACTGCAGAACGGCCTTCAATCCAGTTATCTGAAGACCTTTTACCTCTTTTCGCTGGTAAAAAGCATAGTTACAGCTGCGCTGTCGAGGGATGGCCTCTACCAGAAGTTAGGTGGCTTAAGAATGGTCAAAAATTGCACAATGATACGATTAACCATAAAATCATTGTAGAGAGAACGATAGTAGGAGAGGAGCTTATAGATGTGACCTTACATATTCTTGATGTGGACATAGGGGATTCTGGAAATTACACCTGTGAAGCTATGAACAACATCACAACTGAGAACCGCAGCATCATCGTCTCTGTTATCTGTAAGACGTTGTAGGTAGTTACAGTTGGTAGAGTAAGACAAACATTTTTTTCGTTAAATGACAGTATTCACACGATCCCTGCGATCTTTGCACGCGCTTTAGGATTGATGGGATAACTCAAGGCAATTTCATGTGTCACGTTGTATTCCAAGGCGTAAACAAAAAAAAAAAAAACTTGCCAATATGAGTAATCGCTGTCGAGTTTCTTTATTTTCTCAAACGGAACGACGATTTAAAGTGATGCAAAATGTACGGTTTGAGTTTCTACAAGTTTTACGCTCACAGCAACCATGAAAAGTAAAAATAATCACTTCCATCCATACCACAGGCAGCCCAAACTCTGTGGGAGTTCGTTGGACTTTGAATTTATAAGGGAATGTTTGAAAATAAACAAAATACGTCCTAAATTCCAATTTTGGACAAAAATAGAAATAAAAATGACTTACCTTGTGTTTGTGTTTTACTGTCTCTTCGCCTCTAGAGCCATTTGGAAGCCGTTTTATCGACGTTTAAGATTTTGAGTTGTACTAATGGTAAAAAAACTGGAAAGGCTGGGGACTCTGAAGCCGACCGTTCCAGCTCGAAGCTCCATAAATCCCATAAAAATGGTCACCGTGCTACTCGCGATGACACTCGCGATGCACTGTGCCCGCCCCTGGACCGAGGCAAATTATGGCTGTGACGTAAGCTTTGAGCGAACGTTAATTACGTCACGTCCAAGAGCCCGGTCATACGCATCCCGAGAAAGAAAACTCTGATGGAAAAAGTTTAAAATTAAGCGCTTCGTTAGCGGTTGTGATGAAATCTGAACTCCAGAAGCATAGAAGGGAAAGACAAATTATCGACAGATCCTTTGACGGCAATTTTGGCGTAGTTTGGACCATTTTTATGGGATTTATGGAGCTTCGAGTTGGAACGGTCGGCTTCAGAGTCCCCATGCAGCCTTCCCATTTTTCTTGCTGTTAGTACAACTCAAAATCTTCAACGTCGATTAAACGGCTCTAGAGGCAAAGAGACGGTAAGTGACAAAACACAAACACAAGGTAAGTCATTTTTATTTCTATTTTTGTCCAAAATTGGAAATTAGGACGTATTTTGTTTATTTTCATACATTTTTCTCTTATAAATTCAAAGTCCAACGAACTCCCACAGAGTTTGGGCTGCCCTGTCCATTTTCCATTTTTGTCTTTAACATAAGAAGCCGTTCATTTTCTGTTGTCTAGAATAAACATGACCGCGAATTCTTGCATTGGCATTCAGATTTTATCACATTGCTCTTTTTCCATCATTCCTGGGGAAAGATGGCGGGTATCGTAAATAATCAATCAATGGTTGAGAAAGCACCAAGCGAAGCTAGCCGGGCGAGAACATGCAATCGACCAGCGACGCGAAGAGAAGCCCATGTCACTTAGAATCAAGTCGCTGATTTATAGAAAAAAAGGATATTAGATACAAGCCTATTCAGATAACATTTAAATTCAAAGCAGCTAACTAGAGAAAGAAAACTGTCATTCTCATTATCAGATCCGCAATCCTTTGACGACGCTATGGTCAGGATCAATCCGGGGCGCCGCCAAAAGGATTGCGTATCAGCGAAAGTGAATCACGGTAATATTATTAGAGAAGCCGATAAGGGAACGGCTTGTGTCGCTGACAGTCAGGTCTTTTGATGTTAAACCGTTGGTACTTATTTCTTACTTCTTCACAACAGGCCCACCAGCACTACCTGAACTAAAGGAATCTCCTCCTGATATGGGAACATATGGAAATGTTACTTTGAGTTGCGAAGCTTACCATCTGGATTCCCAAAAGACAGCTTCTTACCAATGGAAGTGGATATTCAACGATAGTGTCGAAATCAGAAAGGAAGCCTTTGGCGGCGGAAAGTATGGCATATTCAGCGAGTACTCATCGCCTAATTCTTGTCAACAAACCAAAGGTTCTGTCGCTCTCCAGATAGCA